CCGGGCTTTTAGATGGCTGATTATGGGGAAACGTCACTGGAAAAAACTTCTCAATGCTTTCACTATGACGCATTTTTCTATGAACTAACACTGTTTCACCAAAGTAGACGTCAATATTTGAATCGTCTGGACATCCACTGGTGGAGCTGTCAGACTCAGCAACTGACCAACTGTAGCTCTTTTCTCCCCTTCTCCAAGGATACTTGTGATAAATAAGGTGTCTTGTTGTCTCAAATTAACCAGTCGCATGTTCTCTGTGACTTTGTCGCTGCGTGTAACTTAGACCACTTTAAAGTGTGAATTCGATCACGAACGCTCTGGGGCTGTGTGTCAATCATCCCCTAAAAAGACAGGCAAAAATGTGCATAATAGGTTATGTCACATTCGTACTGTTTGTAGGGTGGTGGAACTTTCAGTGGCTGTTGGTTAAACTCACTAGAAAAGTGGATTTATTAAAGCTAAATTAAGACAGCGATTCTGTCACTGCAATCAGATTTGTAATTTTTCTGAAGTTAACTAGGAAGTTGGACAATTTTTGCGCTATTCTTTAACAGACTATGGAAGGCTGAGTGCAATACGTACTTTATTCCTTATCACTCCATAGTTTACCGTGTTGTACGTCCTTACTCTTCTCCTCTGCACCACTGTGCATAATGATGACGCAGTACTCGCATTTTTCGATAAACAAAAGTCAGGGTGCGTAAGCTGCATCAAACTTTCGCATTTTGCTAAAGTGTACGTGTCCTCAAAATGAACTCTGTGGTTTTCCAAGCATCATTAAGAGTCGATTAAACAAACGCGCCGTCAATATTTCAGAAAAAAAATTCGGACTGTGTGGGTTAAATAGAAAAACATTTGCTTTTTCCCAATCCTTCCGGAACTAGATATTTTCTTGCATGAATCGCCTTTCTGGGAGCACTTAAGTCTTACGAACTGATTTGCTGATGTGTTGTGTTGTAAACTGTAACCCAGGGCTGGTAACAGCCAACAACGTAAGCATATAAAAACGGCCAGTTCTGTCTTGATTCGTCACTAAGCAGAGTCATAGACTTTGCGACGAACTATAGACAGTTCTGTGGAAAATTCTATTGTTAATTGTCGGTCTGAAGGATTACCGGGATGAGTTCTACCTGTGATATTTCATGTTTTGACTTGTTTTAGATCAGGAGAAAGCGGATCAGTTCGCCGTGCCCAGTAGGCGAATCTCTCAGCCTTTTGGTCGGTGGTCGTTTTGTTCATACTTGGATGTAGGTGTGAAACGTTTTCCACTCGACTACTGGCGATCCATTTTGCCAGAAAATAATGGATAGTGAGTTGATCGCCACAAGGTTTTCCCTACTTGGAGGTTTCTCATAAAAAGGGATGTAAAAAATTGTTATAATATAAATGGGTGTATCCTACAAAAAAGAAAGAATTAGTATCGTAGGTTTATGCAGTAAGATGGACATGACCGACACTGTATTAAACTTCTAAAGGGGTCCAACGACAATTATATATTTATATTTTATATTATGTATCATATATAGTATATATATAGTATATATTATATGTATAGGCCTCTAAATTCTAGAGAGCGGCGCATTGAATTTTAACCCAGCTACTCGTAAGCGCTGAAACTCAGCATGTAGATGATGGAATCGTTTCAAAAGTCATTGCGTCGTCCGTCTGACACTTCAACTGAACGCACTAAAGATCTCTCATCTAACGATGATCGCTTAACATAAGCGCATAGAAGAGTGGTCATTTCACGTATTAGTTGGTTACTGAGATGCTCGATTACTGAAAAGCAAGGCAACAAGGAGTCTTTTACCTTAAAATTAAATTTACTGCAATGAATATAACGAGCGCATCTAGAGTCGTCTGATTCTTGAAAAGTTAAAAATTCTGACCGTTCGAGTACGATGTATGTGTAGGGATCACACACGCTTTTAGAATGAGATGATTTCTTGGCATCAATTTGACGGTATTGATAACCCTTGGACAAATACCGTTACTAATCTCTAACTCGAGAGCAGTAATACACAACAATTGCGGTGCTATATATATTGTGAGGAGAAGCGCCTTTGTTTTGCTTACTTCTGGGTGCCATCATGCTTTGAGAGGAAGTCAAGCGGCTAGGGATATTGACCGAATGATCAGTGATGGACCTCAGTGACGAAGACGCGCACTCCATCGTCATTTTGATCTAGCTCGCGTATATGTTCTACTCCACGGAGTGTGGTTATCAGCCACGCTTTGATGCCCATAGCGATCTGGTCCTAACAAATCACATGAATGAGACTCAGCACCATGAACATATAGCTCAGCAATACCACCAAACTACATGCTCATCACAAGTAGACAAGTAGCATCTGGGAATGGTTTTCACTGCAAGATCGCCCTCAATCTAAGTCATTCAGAGCGTTTTCTTCTTACTGTTATCCTTTGATTTTGAGGACATTCTAATTTGACGATCCAGTTCACAACAGCAAGCTCCTTCTGGTTGGCTGTGGACAAATTGTTTTATGAATTCATGTCCCATATATTACAAGTCCATTCAATTTCTTCCAGCTACTGAGCAGGCATGTGACCGTTTTGGCCGTTTTGTTACTTTTAATAACTGTAGCGTTTCGATTTCACCTCCGGCACCCAATGCGTGCAAAGTGCCGTTGAGTGACAGAATCACTTGAAATTGTTGCTTGTTGGTTTGTTTAACCAGCATCATCACGAATGTCTCCTAAGAATCACCCTTGAATAATTTTCTCCCAAAGCAACTTATCTGGTGAATATCAGACGAAATCAATCACTTTTGATGAGTTTGCAAACATAGAAACAACAAAATTATCGTCGAACCTTGGAGTGCTAGCAACCTGTGGTGTAAAGTGTGAACTCTGTTTACGCTTGAGAACAAATAAAACTGTTTGACTATGTTGTTCTGTCGGATGACACCACCCGAACCCACCCAACTGGAACGTAACCTCTTCAGTCTAAGGCCAGCTTTGTGCATACGAACGGGTTTGTAATTTTTGTTTTCACTAACTTGTTGATGTCTCTATGCTAGTGCTTGTTTATATTTTCGAAACCTGAGTTTTTCGTATTTCAGTTTGACGTTTTTTACGTCACATTACATATTTGTCGGAGGAATGGGTGCGCACTGAGCCTGCTGAATGTTAGAATATACGTATCATCTTTACATTTAGCCACACAAGCTCGACTGATAATTTTGGTCTTTCATGAAACCAAAGAATCCCTGAAAGATTAATTTGGCGTTCAGTTGATCCTTATACCATCGTTATATCTTCACTTCACCTCCATAGTGCGGCCTTTTTACCTTATGAAGATGCGCCTGGTCGTGTTGGTCGCCGTAGCTTGTCACTGGGCCACTGAATTTCTGCAAATGTTAGGAAGTAAACTCAGTTTTGAGAATTATTTTGCTTAGGCTGCGTAGAAGCTTTCATATTGCACTAATACAGACTAGTACATTACAGGGACCAGCAGGGATCATTTATTACATGACGATCCTGGGGCACTGCCTTTGTCTTATGTTATACCTCAAAATCACTCCATTTCTATACATGTCTGAATCCTTCAAACTTTGTAAGACACACTTTACTTTTGGCAAGAGTTCAAACTTGCTTCTAATTTAGTGAGATTTGTCATATAATCTGAGATTTTTCCACGGTTTGATTGCTCGCCGAATCCACCATAACACCAAAAGTTTTTTCCCATCCTCAAATCATTGTCTGTTATCCAGTTCTTTCCTGTCTTTGGTTCAACCGCAGACAATAGATGCTGGTATCGTTACACATGCGTTGCGATCTCTGTGTTTGGGAACTATCTATTGTAACAGCTGATGAAAATGTGACTAACAGCAGATTCGGCCGTTTTATCTGGACATTTCTGTAGAGAAACTGTTGTAATAAGCAAGTAGAGTATCCTCGATTCATAACGTTTACTTTTCCCTCCTAGTGCAGTTGGATTTTTAAGTTTCATGATCTCATCATTGATTTCAAACATCCAAACAAGGTCGTTCAGTCTAAATTTGGACTGCCCACTATTGCCGATCTTTTAAGCTTTGTTGTACGCCATGGGGCACCTTCAATGGGACTGTTGAACTTTCCGGAATATTCGTTCCACAGATGTGTACCTGTATAACGACAAAACCATATGTTCTCCTGGCTGATCGCTCATGACCTATGGTTGATTTCTTACCCACGAACAATATATTCCTCGTTAAAAAACAATTCCGAAGTTTGCAGGTACGCTGTTGTCTTTTAGTGACCTTTTGACTAAACACTGTGTCTTTCATGCATGCACACTGAATCTTGTCTTCAGTGGAAAATTCAGGTTCTTTTCGAAGTTTCATTTCGTACGCGCATAGCGGCTGGTTATGCTGCTTTGGTTGATTTGATAATCGATTATTACGTTCACTGACAGTTATATCGGCGCGGATGCCTTTATTATGACACATTTTTCTCTAATAAGCGCAACAAGGAGCAAATACTTTTCGGCCTCAGCATGCTGATACCTGTTTATTCACCCGAAAACTCTGAGGTTAGGCACACACTAAAAATTGGTATTAAATACACACATTCTGCTTCTGTTTAACTGACAGTTGATTATGTAGTAATTTCTTGACTGACTTGTTGACAGTGGTGATCTTAGACAAAGTGAATTAGGCCGGAGCAAGAAAATTGCTCATCCTTATTTCTCAGTTCGAGACAACGAACCAAAAAAGTAGTAAACGAAGCTCATTGTTTTAATTGTTACACGAAGCGTAATAACGGATAAGAACAATTAGGTAAACATCCACCAGCCAGTGAGATATTTTTTGACCTCTTGGGACCGAAATTAATACCTACTTGTCGGACTTGGTTCGGTAACCGTTACGTATCAGAAATTTCATTAACCCGATTCGAAGATCCCATGAACAATCTCTCATTATAGGCCTTATGGATAATCTGTTCCTTCTCGCAGGTTTAGTTTTTTTTCATTATGGTAAATAAACCTGCGTGTAGAATATGCCCACCGACTGCCCAGTAGAAGTGGGCACTAACTCATCTACTGCTGTCATTCGGTCGGCAGGAGGTAAGTGTTCCTCATTACGATTTGGTTTACAGATCAACATCTCCCTAACATGACTGTGTCAAGCGCAGTCGGATGGATAGTCGACATCAAATTTTAACCCCCCCCCCCCGTAGGTCGGTCTGACTATCTTGTAACCTGAAGCTTGGTGTAATCGGCAGGTGTTATCCTTCGTGCCAGTCATTTCTACAGTCAAACCAGGAGTGCCATTCTTTACACGAGCAAAAGGTACTTTCAGTCCTCAAAAGTGGATTTCTGTCACTATCGATCTGTTTATAAAGCATTTAGATAACTTGCTTTCAATATATCATCAGGCGAATGAACAACTGGCTGTCACACTAAAAATGGCCCATCCTATGTCGTTTTGCCTCGCTACGCCAAGCCCCACTCAGTGCACTCTATTCAACTCCCAACAAAACCTTGTCGGTCGACGTGTTTCTACCTTCAGCCGCAATAAAGAAAATAATCCACAGGTTCCAAGTAGTTTTCCTCTGGTGAAGTGGGGAAAGGAAGGAAGAAAATGGAAGCACGTTGTGATGCAATTTAATTAGTTAGTTTGCTCGTAATGTAGATAATTCGTCGAATGAACGTCCTTTTGCAAATATCAGCCGGATGTTCATACCTCCGCCTCGCATTATCGTTGACGAAAGATTCTAATCAGCTCGAATAACGAACAATCTCCCTGTGGAAATCAACGTGCTACTGAAGGTCAACATCTGTACATGCCTATGCTGTTGCACCTGTAGGACGTCCATTGTCTGATTATAGCAGATGTGCATTTCATTATCCCGTTTATATTTGAAAATGTAAACTCAACCAAACCCAATCGGACGTTCCCTTGAGATACCTGTATGGTCAGGTTAAGGGTAAAAGATTAGTGTTTCGTACAGTGAATACAAATCACTCCGCTTCTCTTGCCTAAGCGCACTAAGCTCAAATCCGGTAGGACCTTCCTATATTTTGCACTCGGTGAAATGGCTGAAATTGTTTATTGAAGACAAAAAATCATTTCAACAGCCCTCTTCTATGTATTCCTTTCTAGTTTCCTACAGACTAAATTGTGTGACTTCCAATGAATAACGAATTTCACTCGCACGCCTGCATTCTGTCTACTTTTGCTCATATTTAAGTTACGAACTTAGATTCCGTACCAATTATCACTTCGAGTAAAATACATTAGGCAACCCAATCTCAAACTAATATAAAACCTGGGTCTATAAACTTTTCGCTCACAAATCTGCACCCAAATGAATAGTACAACCACTGAATGAAAGAAAGCGTTCACCACAATTATCCGAATTTGTGTAATCAATTTGAACAGGCACTGTGCCATTCAAACAACAGTCATTCTCTGAAACTACAAAGTAGCTTCTCAAAGCAAAGATCCTGCATCCCGGGAAACCACAGTAGTTGGAAACCGTCAAAAAATAGCCTCTGATTTTTCTTCCAGTAATATGGCTGGTGACAGGCCCTTCGCATTGCTCACTCTTTAAAGGTTGACTATTATTCTCAGTTCAAAAGCGATCGAATTGTCTCATTCATTTATTTTGGACATGTACTGCTTCTGCTTGCCTTCTTCAGAGAGATGAGGTACATCATTTTGCAAAATTTCATTGAAGTCTTCAGACTGTTGTCTGATATGAGTTTTCGGACGTTGTTTCGCTACTCGTGTGGTTTTTATCATTCGGTCTTCTTCAAGTAAGATACCAATTGAAGCCCGCGCGGATATCCGTCATAGAAGCAACAAGTTTCACTAAGATGGGTAATTTCGATTACGCCCACATCATGTGGGTGTCAGACATTTTTCGAAGGCTCTGTTCCTCAACTACATGCTTGGAAGACCCATAAAATTCTTCATAAACCTGCCCCGCCAAAAAAAGATCCTGTGATAATAGAGGTCCGTTTTCACAGAAAGACTTGCTTTAGAAGAGCCCATAGTCAATAATTCAGACCTCGATAAAATAATAACTTATGAGTCTTTGATTTGTTTCTTAAGCTGAAGGTTTAGTTGCAAACGTCTCAGATCAGTCAGTGGGATTTATGCCTCAGAGTTTGCTGCAGAGCAACGATCTAATGTTTTCATTGATTGAGGTCGAATTTTCAAGATCAACTAAGGAAGCTGAGAGAATAAACAGACGGCTATTCCCCTAATCTACTCTGTGAAAACCACTGAAAAATGAACTGTATGCTATTACAGGCTGTTTATCCTGGGTTTCCTACTCAGCAGTTCAAAAATTGTCACCTTTGGGAGTAAGTACTAATGCAGCTGTAGCACAATCTTCTTAAATCTTGAAGAAAATATTTTCACTCAGCTGAGTGTCCAGTGAAATTTGGACGCAAATGACGTCATGAACCATGTGGTAGCTTAATACTGCTTCTGAACGGATGAGACTGAACAGACGTTAGTCATTGTAAAACGATATCACCTTGTGGCGCAGCAAGTACTTTGCGTACTACTCTGGCTGGAACTAAATTCCTCATGAAGGAAAGCCCAATAGCATCCTGATCGAGAATGGTGGGTCTGTGCACTGCGGATAATCGTAGTATGAGGCGGTTGAGTCGATGTATAGTTGTACCGGCCTCTGTAATAGGAGCATCAAAGCAGTCGGGTGTTTCTCCCAGGCGGCTAGCACATCCATACTTATGAAGGCAATGATATTGCCCTCTCCAAAGGATGAAACGTTGAGAATGGGTCGGCCTGAAATTCACACACTCCACCCACTTCATCGTTGACCATAACCATTGACCAGGCGGTAAAACTAAAGAGGCTGGTGGTGATAAGCGGGTATCTGCTGTGCATAGCCGCATTAGGAGTCCCAAAATTATGCCTTACTCCGTGCGTCCGCGGGTTGCAATAGTCTTCTGCAGCCAAGTGGGTCAGACTTTTGAGGTATTGGCTCGGAGAAAACCTTAACAACATTAGCCGCTCGGTTCAGCCATTTGAGTCAAAGGCTTGAGATACAAAGCCCTACTTCTTCCACTACATTGTGGTTCACCTCAACCGGAACTTACTTTTCGGACTTGGAAACTTCGCCCTCTTCGCCATCACACTTCTGCGCTGAACGGCCCCACCCAAATCCTCACCTTACCTATCGAATGTCGCACTGCGGTCAACCATTCTGACAGTCCTGTAGCCAGTGTTCCTCCACTAAACTACTGACCAAAAAAATAAACCTAAATAGTCCTTAACCATACTCCAAGTAATCGATCCACGTGCAACCTTCAGCGTGCGTACTCTGCCAAACCGGGTAGCAGGCATGTCTTGTTGGAACCTTGTTCAATCAAGTTTTCCGTTGTACCGCGCATAAAAACTACCCCGTTCAGTTCATAGCCACTCAGTTCTTGAACATGCAACCATGCAATCGCCTCCATGCTTTATTGCCTCTCTCCCGCTCCCAATCCTTTTAGTGACAAAACTGTAGCAACTGGAACCAACGTACCCTTCGTGCATGGTTTAGAGCTGATGAACTGAAATGAACTGAACTATGCCCTCATTGAGTTATGTGTAAAGCACAGCGTCGTAACCCGTGGACATGGACTAAGGGGGCGGTAACAAGGTGAATTACCTGGAAAGAAAGTATGAAAAATGCCGTATATGTCCAGTACCATAATTCAACATTGATGAATTTATCTGCCTTGGGAAAAACATAGAGTCCTGACCCCACCGAGTCTGTGACAAACCAATATAGGCCCCAAGAAACTCTGAAACCTGCCCTCTTGTAGGATGTATTTCAATGACGTAGTCTTAAGAAGTATCTCCGAACAGCTCCAAATTATGCTAGAACAATACAACGTACAAACGTTCTGAAAAACCTTCGTGAGCCTCAGAACTCTCGACTTGAGAAGCTCAAAAATAGCCCTTTTTGCTGACGTGTAAAAAACACAAGGTCCTTTCAATTCATTCACTTTGACGGTTTGACTCTACCAACTATTGTGTAGTGACTGTGGAGTCGGAAAAACTTGATGTTGAGTTTGCAATGGTGCATATTTTAGTCTTAGACTGTTGCTAAGGTCACCGACATTAGATCAATATGTAAAAGAGCAATTGTTTGTACGCCGAGTTTAGAGGAACAGGATACGATGCCATATTTGCGCAGTGAAAACGTGTTTTCTAGTCGTATCCTATTAAAGTGAACCCATTTCAGAGGAAATGTTTGTAATCCTTATTTGACTGTTTTACTGTCAAGTATCTCAATCACCACCTAATCCCCTAACTTCAACATAAGAAAATGTAGAAAGGAGTTGAGAGGTGTTTTCTTGACGGAACCTATTCAAAATTGTGCTGAAAACTCTCCGAGGAAATTGGTGTGCAAACGGCCGTGGTTCGCATGTTAAAAAGTATTTAGGTGTTCCTCCGTGTAGTCTATACTCATTCAGGCTTATTTTCCTTGCCTTTTGTAATAAGCGCGTTCCATCTGAAGTAGCAAAGTGAAACTGGGCGTTGGTTTTCATGGTTTTTTCTCGCCAGCTTGCCGTCCAAGGCAACGAGCAAACTGTGGTTTCAACAGCGACGGCACCAGTAGTCTCAGATGAACGGATTTGAATCCGTTGAACTCTTGGCGGTTTCGTCAATTTGCTCTGGAGAAAATCTTTGTCGTTCTGATGGAAGCCTACGGTTGTGTCGGCGCTAGAGTTGAATCACCGAGCAAAAGCATGGGGTCTATCGCCCACGCTACCGACCGCGAATGACAATGTCCCAGTTAGTCAACAACCACGCTTGGTTGCGTGGTGACTGTAACCAGCTCAGATGTCACACATCTCAATGTCTTTGTGGGGGGAAACAACTCAGTGTCAGTAGCCCAATTTGCTTGTTTAATGTTGGAAATTTGCTATTTGATTCTACTTGTATTCGTCTGGATATAGGGTTTCTGCTAACCCACTGAAAAACGGGATTTGAAAGTGTGCTCAGATTCAGTTTGACTGTCGGTTCAGTCTGATTTGCTCATTGATGGTTATCGACTCAATTTCGAGCGGGCGATTACCGCTAGTCATGCAAGTAAATAGTTAGACTGGCTGGTTTTCAAGCTTTCAACTATCAGGTTGATTAACTTCAGAAGCTTGTCAAAATAAGTCACCTTTAAACTCTAACTCAGGGATGGCGTATCTATCTTTGACCAGCGGATGCGTACACATCCGCGGGTGCGCTTCACACCCGCAAAGTGTAAAGTGCTACTGCAAGACTGGGTGGGCTTGAACCCTAACCTCATGCTTGCGGATGAACCGACTGAGGTAGTAGACAAATTTGTTTACCTGGGCAGCTGTATCAGTCCCGGTGGTCTCACGAAAGAGGAAATTTCCATCCGGATTGGAAAGGCCAGAGCAGCTTTTGCGAACCTACGTCACCTGTGGCGTAGGCGTGACATCAACTTCCCTGTCAAGGGTCGAGTTTACAATGCTGCGGTGCGCTCCATGTTACTATATGCATAAGAAACCTGGCCGCTGCGCGCCGAGGACGTCAAAAGACTTTCAGTGTTTGACCATCGATGTCTTCGGAGCATTGCCCGAATCTGGTGGGAACACCGGATAAGCAATTCTGAAGTACGTCGAACGGTATTCGGGAGAAATAACTCACCCTCGATAGATGAACTGATCATATTGCGCAGGTTGCGCTGGCTTGGCCACTTGCTGCGTATGCCATTCGACCGACTTCCTCGAAGGGCTCTTTTCGCACAACCATGTGAAGGGTGGAAGAGAGCCAGAGGCGGTCAAACAATGACTTGGCAGCGAAGTATGAAGGCCATTACCAGCAAACTCAGCTGCGCTGGTCACTGCCGTCTTCCTGGATGGGGACCCCGAGACGGGCCACATCAATGGCTGGAGACATTGTCAGACATGGCCCAGTCGCGCCCCCAATGGCGCTCGAGCATCAAAGCTATTGCCTTCAATGCATAGCTCTTTTTCCCCCCCCCCCCCCCCACTTGACAGCCCACTGACAGTGCTGGATTTATGCACCAACTTACCAGCTCGCGCCTGCAATGCGCAGCTACCCCCCAATCACCGGTGAACGAAACTGCGGCAGCTACAACCACTGTACGATGTGTACTTTTCAATCCCCCCACCCACACAAACTTAACCAATCACAGTAAGAGCAAAGGATCCTATGCGGCTGAGGTTTTCGTGCAGCAGCCACGTTTTTAATGCAAATCCAATAACTCAATAATCATTGATGACTGACGTTCAGTCGGCCTAATTGACCAGACGGCTTGTTAGTTAGTTTAAGTTGTTCAGCTGTTGGTTGGGACAAGTTAAACTTTCCCGATCAAATGTGGTTGTAGCATTAATTAACTCGATAAACTACTGAATGGTATGACCACACCTGAGTTTACACAAGTAGTGCTATGCATGTAGGATACCGCAACACTGCTAATCAGCTGCAAATAGTGGACTATGACAATGTTGATGCTACGGGTGCAAACGCCGGATGGAGAGAGCAACCGTAAACATAGCACGCGGGTAAGAAATTTGCTGAAAAAGGGGTGGTAGTGCCTATTCTATGTAGTACTACTACTACTACTGTTTGAACTACTGTAGAAAGCTACGAAACAGTAGTTCAGATTTCCTGATGGTAATCTAGATAATCCCGGTTACTAGTTAGTTGCTGCTGTAGAATGGTACTGAGTAACCTCCCTTGTTCTGTTCGCCTTTGTGCAGTGCATTCTTTTGAACGAGGTACTAGTTCTGTATTATGTGGTGGCACCCAAATTTTCACGAAGCAAATTGTTTTCTTTAGAAGGAATCAGCTGATGGCGCCAACCATAAGTGCTTCGCTCTGGAAGGTGAATTTTTAAGAAGGAGCTAGACCATCAAAATATGCTGCAAGTATCTGAAGGGTAAAAGTTGTCACTTTGATGGTAGATTTCCATCGAATGTGATGACTACATCTAAAACCATGGATATTCTAGCAGCTTGCGCGTCGAATACACTCAAATATTTTTACCATCCACACTGTTTACCGTGAGCTTGAAGGGCATATCTTCCGTCTGTTGAATCGTCACTAAAACTGGCCCGGTGTTTTCTGCATTTCCGATGACGGCTGGATATTTCTTTAATTTATCCCTGTTACCGAAATACGCTAACTACAAAATGGAGAAACGGTGGAGTACACTGGCGGCATATCATTCTTCACTACCTTGCCAACTTCAGTAATAGTTATTTTCTTGTTGTACGTGTGGGAAGTGAAACCTTTTGTTCCGCCCATACGGTGTTCGGCTGCGATTGACTGATCGGTCGACTGGTCGAAGCAGATGACATCAATAACTGTAGAGTTTCGGACATTCTGTTCTTTCACCGACGTGTGCGTAAAAGGAGGTAAGGCTAGGTGTGTTCTGAGCATGCCGTCCGTTTTTTTACTTTTACAACTTTCTCTTCACTTTAGTTAAATGTTTAGGCATGCTTTTAAGCCCTCAGAGAGAGTTCTGAAATCGACAATCAATGGCTTCCCAGATTCAACATAGACAGGCTTTCGCGAAAGTCGATCGACCGATCTTTTCCAACGGTTATATACAAAGCTATGTTCATAATCATGTTTGAGCTGGCAGTCTTTCCGTTAGCTTAACTGAATCGTTCTATTGCAAGCCTTTAACGACTAGGCTAGCCGACTCAGCGGTGTTTCACTGCCCGCTAAACTGCCGTTTGCACGTCATGAGCTGAGGACACCTCAGGCGTTGATTTGTCTGTGTGACCCACTGTGCACATTTTTGGCTCTTGCAAGCGAAAGTCAAACTGAGCTTCTTGATAACTGACTCAGCTGCACACATACCTTCACTTAACACATACAAGTACTTCTGAGTTTACTCACGAACTCATCCTATAGACATCCATAAGCTATGTATGTACCGCCGTCACGGTTTGGCCCTCAGTAAGTGGTAAAAATAGGGACGCAAGTAGTTTGTCCTAACTAACTGAACTGAACCAAAATGTGGCTATAGGCAAATGAGATATTGGAGAATAACAGCAATTGCTTACGACTGGACAACTTATAAATTATAAGCTCCAGACACATCTCGCTTTTAGCAGATGGATTGAGTACTATTCTCCTAGTTGGTATAGGCTGACCCGAATTTCTATTTTACTGTGAGAATGTTATGAAAATACGTGCAGGTTTTTTTCTACGAAGAGAAGGAAACATACACTCAAGTTTGGGCGACTGAACCTCAGCATACCTGAAACCTGGAATCTGTGGTGATGTAGTGGTTCTTTCTTCCATAATCCTAGAAGTTTCCCAGGCTAGTAGGTGGAACACCTAACCGTCAAGATACGGGTGGCTGATCATCACTTAGACTTGATATGACTCCACTCATTCTTCAATCAAGGGATCCACATCATGCTGTCGCACGTGGGATCTCGTTAGATGAGCAGCATTGATGACTCCCACTAAGGATGAAAGAACTGTGCAGTGCTTCCCAGCTTTTCAGTATAGATTGGCCTCAAGTAAGCGACAGAATCTCCGATAAAATTTCCAAATCCCCTCACATTGCTAACATTACTTACTTAAAGCATACTCTAGCCAGCCGCTCGCAAGTCCCATTCAGGTGTGTTTGAGTGAGAAATATATTGATGGAATAGTTGTAATTTGCATTCATCCTATTCGTGATCCGTTTTTGATATAACCACAACGCCTCAGGTCGGTGACTGAGGGGTCCATAACGCTTCCACCCAGCAGAGTAGGAAATGCTCTACAGAGAAGTTGCAGGAGCAAAGAATGGATGCGTTTGTAATGAAGGATGCAAACCTCTGCACTGCAATTCTTAAGCTGCAGTTCACAATTACAGTTCGTTACATGGGATAAAGAAGAACCATTTTCTTGCATCTATGAGCTTTGGCGCTTCAATGGAGCTGTGAGAAAAAGACTATTTACACTAATAGTATTCAATCTAGTTGCCAAGAGATCGTAAAACATTCATAAAAGTAGTCCTTTCACACTATACAACGATCAGTTTGGCGCTGTAGAGTAAAACTCCCGTAAACTAGATCAATGTCCAGTTAGATGTCTAGGTAGATGGATACATGCACACCCAGGGGCAGATAAATGAGAGTATGAAGAACAGTAGTTGAATAAAATGTAACGCATGTAAAAAAGTATCTAAAGTAGTACCTCTAAAGAGTAAATGTAACTGCAGTGGTCTGTTTCCAAGAATGCAACCACAGTCATCACATCATCACATCATCGGCGAGATAGAATTCCGAATGTGGCTGGTGGTTTCGATTATCCTCAACTCTAAACACAACGGAGCTGACACGTTTAACTGTGTTTTCTCCTTCTATCACTCTCATTTCGTTATCTTTAACTAATGATATTCCTCTCACCTGAGAAGGGTCAAGTTTGCAAGATTAGCAAGGTCCCTCACTTTACTAGATGTTCCAATAAGCTCAATAAGGTCGCACACTCAATGAAGTCACTTCAAGAAAGTGAATCCAATGAAGTCACTCCCTAACTCTTTTCTGCGAGGAGAACAGATTGGACGTCAAGCTGTTCATCCTCAACCCCCCACATAATATATGGCATGTAACGTCTCCTACCCCGTCATACTCATTTTCACTTTTTTCCTGTTTCTTTTTAGGATGTCTTAGGCGTACATAACCGGAACTGAATACTGAACTTCCAAGAAAAGTGTATGGCGTGCGTGAACTTCTTCAGTTTGAGCTGATCTACCCGAGCATAATTCCCATCAAATGCACTCAACACCTTACAGTCTCTTGAACGGAGAATATCACATTTACAACTTTACCACTGGGTTCTCAGCTTACGGTTACATATATTATGCCAGCTTATCGACCGGCGAGTCATATGCTGTTCAGTTATTTCTCACCTTACTGGCCTTGTTCGGTGTGGGTCTCACCGTGGTCATGACTGTCACACATTTGTGTGCCATCTACTTTGCACGTCACCATATGTACCGGACCACACCTGTTCGGGATCTTGGTCCTTGCCCAGAACTGAGACACGTTTGGCAAAGGCGATTTACCGCCGCTCGGTCATATCGCACCTTTTGCTCAATTCCATCTTGGCAATCATGTTCCAGGTCCTCAGATTCTGCCTCTGGTGTGCCTCCTTTCATCACCCAACCGGAAACTCTCACAATTCCTTTCTTACAGGCACCAAAAATAATCGTCAAAATGCCAGATTTGCTGGATGGTATTATGCAACCGTCAGCAATAAAGCCCATATCATATCCAGGCGTTTCGATAATCAAGCCATTATCTGGTGTAGATACCAACCTCGAAGTGAATCTGGCTTCCTATTTTCGTCTGGACTATCCAACCTACGAGGTTCTCTTTTGTGTATCAGACAGCCTGGATCCGAGTTGTAAACTTGTACATCGGTTACAGTCTGTCTATCCCAATGTGCCTTCCCGGCTGATTGTGGCCAAGAAAGTGTATGGCATCAACCCGAAGATCAACAATCTTCAGGCTGGATACGAAGCAGCACGTTACGATTTGTTGCTCATATCCGATTCCGGCATTTGGATGCGTTCGGATACACTTACAGATATGGTTGCCTGTTTAAAATCTGATGCAAACGTGGGGTTGGTTCATCAGATGCCTTTTATGGCTCCTTACCTTGCAGCTGTGCGTGCTTTCATGGATCCAACATCCCCATTTCCACTTGTTTCTTCATCCAGCTGGAGCCCACTATCTGATCGTCCTTCTTTTGCATGGATCTTGCAGCTAGTTTTCTTTGGATGTTGGCATGCTAAAATCTATCTTTTTGCCGCATTTTTGGACATTAATTGTGTGACCGGAATGTCGATCCTACTGCGAAAACCCGTGTTGAGTCCACTTGGAGGATTCGTCAGATTCAGTCGCTATTTGGCTGAGGATTTTTTCATTTCCAAATACTTCATCGATCAAGGCTGGCAAATCCGCCTGGCTCACCAACCGGCATGGCAAAATTCCTTGTCCACTTCGGTTAGTCAATTTCACTCACGTATTAGTCGATGGTCACAACTTCGGCTGACGATGGTAATCGTGGCCTACATCTTGGAACCCTTATCCCGCTGCTTTCCGGCCGCTATTCTCGGTGCCTTTGGATTTTCTCACTTCCTTCCAAATACCATAGATCCCGGAGTGTTTTTCCTGTGCCACATACTAATTTGGTTCTTATTTGACTACATCCTACTTCTCAATCTCTATCCACCATGTATGCAACTGTGTATAACCAAACTGGAATATTTGGTAGCCTGGATGTTCTCAGAATTAACAGCGGTACCATTTCATTTCAGTGTGATTTTCAAAAGAGACATACAGTGGCGCAACAAACGATATCGTGTTCACTGGGGTGGTGTATCCGAACAAATCATACTCTCCGCGGATCAGACGGATAAATGTGCCGGCGAGGCGGTAAGTAGCGCTAACACGACAATGCACTTATAAACTGAGGAGCATTTGAAGGTCTCTGTCAGTTCACGATTAGGTGGAGTGTCCCTTACTTCCACATCCTTTCACGGTTATTCAATGCAATCAAACCTCCAACTAGTCAGTTTTTTTATGTGTGAGGATATGTATAGTTCAGCTAAATTTGTGCATGGACGTATTGCACATTTGTACATATTGTCGTCACCACTGCCAAAATAGCCATTATGACCACTTACTCGTATCGTCAGACCAGATGGACATTTTTATCACTTTTACTTAACGGACATTTTAAAAAAAATTGGATTGGTGTTTTTAGTTTCTTTCCTCTCATTTACTGTCAAATGTTGCCTGTCTTCCGTCCGTTTCACCGACTTTCACACTTTTTGCTTGTCCATCAAACTTCTTTCACCGCAGTTCTTCCGATTTCCCCTCACTCATTTATCAGTTGTAAATTTCCATGACTAATTTTTTCTGAATGTCAGACGAAAGTGTTAACTTTATTTTGTGTTTGGGTTGAACTCGACCTTCTATGATAGATTTCCTGTTATCTTGTGCTCCGTTAGAGAATTGCTGTCTACAACTTCAGTCCTAAGCCAATTGTTTGGCTTATGAAACGCCCAAGAAACTTCAATGTGTGTGTGTGTTCAAGACGCATCCGCCCTTCTCATTTGCAGGTTATATTCACTCAACGGTTATCTGCAATGGTTGGGTTGACTGTATTCACAGCTTGAAATTTGAGCAATAAATACCAACGAGGGGTGTGCTGTCAAAACTTATATTTGAGGTACTTTTCGAGAATGGCGGACGGTGAACTAGCGCTCGCTTTGAATGTGCTTTCCTCTTTATGTTCCCTTCTCTAACAATACTGCAAACGGGTGCTCTTTAAAAACCCGAAAATGACAGTGCTGGTGTCAGAACGCTACATTTATTGGAAACCAAATGAATTAGGATGCACTTTTCCTAGGGTAAATCTTCTTGTGGGATAGTGTAGTGAAGACAAGACTTATCCATCTGCAGGCAAACCGCTGCGGTATGCCATTTCAAACAACCGACGCCACTCGATGACTGCAGCTGTTCCGGTCAACACAGAAACTTTGATGGGGAATGTAATAGCATAGGCATGAGCCGAATCCGTCGGTTGGGTTGCTCTTCATGTGGGTGCACAGAGTAAAGGCCATTCTGCGGTGCACTTAGGCTGCAGTTTCCATTTAGGTTTATAATGCTTTAATAGAGCACAGAAAAAATTGTGTTGAAGGCGATGACCACAAGTTAACTAGGGGAAATTGGTGGAAATTTCATTCAGCTACCACCATAAATCATTCAATAATGGGTTAGGCAAAAACGTCTAGTGAGCACTTGATGGTTAACATCAGTAAACACCCGGGATTTACGAAGATCTGGAGAACAGATGTGAAAAAAGTGTGGAATCGCCCCACGGTTTCTTTGAATTGAAATATATTCCACTGCCTCGGAACCGTGTGATTAGTTCTTTATTGTTTTGGCTTAATCACCGTTCCACGAGAGACATGAATTTTGCTTGCTGGTTTTGGGATCGCACCAGTTAATTTTCCCCATAGGTCGGATGACTTTCGTACCTCTATGAAAACGATGTCCGTCATGCCCAGAGCCTTATTGCTGATACTGATTATTACTCTGTCCGCACCTCCTCTAGCAACATCTGGCATCTGTCATCCACGTTCAACGGTAGGTACCAAGGTCTTCGTTAGAGTCAGAGCACGCGTCCTAAAGGGCAGAAATGGCGGCGTAGCCGAGTTATTTGCAGAGGATTATCTGATCAAATGAACCTCCAGAAAGTAAATGAGACGGTATACAAGTGCCTGGCTGTATAAGCGAGGCGCCGTATTAAATTATCTGCATTTTTCGACAGGTATAGCCGGTCGATCCTACTGACCGATAGAGCGAGAAAATCTCAGCAGCTCTATTACCGCTACACAATCAGCTCCACATAGTTACTGGTATTCGTGCCCTCTGTGTACGTTTCTTCAATCCTTTACCGTCCTCCAACCATGTTGGGGCGTTGTCTGGCAGATACGCGCTTACAGCAGACAGGGCTAACCTAATCGGCTTCTGATGGCAGATCTGTGAATGCCAGATGCCCCGACAGCTGCAACCTGGAGTATGCCTCAATCTGAAGAAATTTTCTATGCACGAACGACCGACTGGGTTATAGTTAACGTATAATGTCTGGATAGTTTGTTATATTTTGATTCACATTCCCAATCCCAGAGAGTGACTTACCATAAGGCCTCATGTGAAGTGCCGGGAGCAGCACTTCGACTGGCACTTCGAAAATTCAGCCCGCTGTGTTTACTATACTATACATTCTGGCATTGCTATTCGTGGTTTGGAGATTTCAAACAGGTTGGTTATCGGTGAGGTTGTTAAATTGACTGTTTCAACAAAATCGCAGTGATTTCAAATTTTTCACTGAATGTATTTTAGCAAGACCACATCGGACTTGCGTTTCAACCAGTCCAAAGCTTATCCATGATGGCAATACAGTTGTTTTGTTGTCAGCTACACCTTCCACTTTACACAATATTAGGTCACTTATTTAAGTGAACCAAATCTTCTTCCGTCAAATAGAAAAGGATGCAGCGCAATCGCAAAATTGATTGATCGAAATAAGGAGCGTCGTAAATCTGCTTTTTGAGTCTCTCTCTTAAACTTCTTTCGAAATACTACGTCACGTAGCATGACGTAACAGACGTGAATCATCTATTGATAAACTTATTGGTGACATCTGTCAATTCATCACTTCGCTCAGGTCACACTTTACTACTTTTTGTAGTGTTGATAATCTTCGCCACCCACACTATTCCGCTGCCCAAGTGGTTCTGAGACCTTATCGTGCCAATCCGTGTGTGGTCTTAAAATAGATTCCTCGAAGTCCGCCAAAGTGGAAGCACCAAACGCTTTATTCTACGCCAGCTTGGACGCACTCTCTTCTTGAACACTCACTGACTTCTTCATTTAAGGTTCCATCGTTGCAATATACTGCAACATTTCTACACATAGAAAAGTGATACCATTTAAATTATGGAGTTTAAAAGCGATGAGATCAACGATTTGCACTTTGGTCTTCCACGGGGGCTGCATGAGCTGTCTATTCAATGATTCATGAAGCCCAGTCGCAACAAGTCAAAGTGGACCGTCAATCTGCTAGTGTGGCTGGGGATCAATATTTTTGATACGCACAAAATTCATCCTACGTAAAAAAGCGCAGCTGGCGAATTTTAAAATGCGGTCATAATTTCCCACTTGCACTTCACCTGAAGAACAGATTACTTTCGTTTATCTTTGGTTCGGTCTCCGATGCCGTACCCCCTTGTCATCCACAGGAGGCAAATATTGCATACATGAACGAGTTGTGAACATTGTCATTATATTGTATAATTACTTCGTATCGGCTTATGATGCAGTCACGGTATGCCATTTACCTTATCGTATCGATTGTCAAGTCAGACTTATCTGATGTCCTAGTCCGTCTGTCACCCTACAGTCAAACTACCAATATACCAATAATATTGTTGCCACTGCGGTTTTGAAGTTTGTGAAACACTGTCAATGCAGATACTCTGCTTCCACAATGGCTTTCTGTATGTGATGACACATGACACGAGGCACACCGACTGAGGATTTTTGGTGATAATATTTAGTTGTTTCATGGAAAAATTTTTTGTTGGATATCTCAGCTTTGATGGTGCCCTAGCGGGCTTTTTAGCAGTCTGACCTTCAGGATAGCTCGCTCATCGTAAATTCACCATCCATCACAGATAGTGAGTTCAGCGTATACCTGCAATTTAAAGGTGGATTGCTCTGAAGTATGTGGAAGTTCGAGCTGACAGCTTCATAATTATTTGCTAATAGGGCGTTCATAAGGAACGATTCAAGTGGCCGCATATCCATTGTATAGAACTGTCTTTTGGAAGATATGTATGACCTTAGGGCGTAAACCGGAATAAGTGTTATCACGAGACGGTGTACGCAAATCTGGTTTGGAGGGATCTGACAGACCCGGCTTACCACTGTGTTCAACCGAAAAGTCTGTCGAATTGTTTCTGGCGTACCGAATTACTGGCAAGACACATGTGAGTTCAAACGAGAGCAACTGAAATTGCATTGAAGCGAGCGAAGTAATCAGGTCACCGGTAGGTTAAGAACCATAATCGGCTGCACTAACCGTACTCCTTAGAAACGATGGTTCTGTACAGCACGGTGTGCTTCAACTTACCGTTGACACTAAACGAGTATTCATAGGCGTGTTTTTCCACTGAATGAGACTGCAAGCTTTACACAGCTGTGCTCTTAACTGTTAACACCATACATTTGAGTGAATACACAATTTGAGGAGTACAATAATCAAATTTTGGGTAGTTATCTATTGTATCATCAAGTAGTTGCTCGATAAAGACAAACTATGCTAAGTGGATAGAAGATGACACTATCATTGGGCAAACGAAAATGTGTGAACTGGCTTGAAAGGAAAAACTACGGAAGTGACTTTATATAATCCAACAAAATTAACTCATCCTGACTGGTCATTAGTGCAAACTGCTGGTGGGTAACTTATCTGACTTTGTTTAAGACACCCACGTCCGATCCATCTAGATCAGACGAGTTAACCCCTTGCCGTAGATTCTATCTGAAACAAAATGTTCTCAACGTCCCTCCGTTTCGAAATGTGACCCCTTCTTCCAGTCTTCCATCTTGTATAGTATAGATCTAACAATAGACCTTGACAATATACATTAGCATCACGCGGAAACCCTAAGAGAAAAATCGTTGTGCGAGAGAAAATTTTTCATTTATTTTCGGTCTTTGTCTTTTGGTGCTTTCTTGAAACAGTTTACCGGACGAACTATGTTTAACAGGGAACAATTTGCATGAAAAGCACACTGCATAAAATTTTTTCGGTATCCCAGTGGCTAAGATCTGGTATTTGTAATCGGGCCAGAGAAGTTCGGACAGACTTAACTTTTGTTTGGAGCCATTTT